CCCACCACTACAGAGCTCTGACAGCACACGCCAGCTGAAGCCAGATGTTTGCATCAGCCTAACACCACCACCTACATCCCTTGCTGCAGAAACACATTCCAGCTGCACCATCAGCAGTACTTCTGCACTGCAGAATGTGCAGCCAGCAGCACTAGGGCTGTGACCCGGTGGCTGGTTGGCAGCTTACCAAGAGGTAGACACAAAGGGAGACAAATCTTGTCTCTCTGATATAAATGTTTTCCAAACTATTTGAAGCACAACAGATGCAACCGATAATGTAAGGGGAGGTTAAGGTTAAACCACCTGGTTTTAAGGTATCTTTTGGAGTTCAAGAGCCAGTGGAGATCCATTTCCCAGCTTTTCTTCAGAAAGAAAGGACAAGGGTCCACGTGTTTTCTGCAGGCTCCAAAAGCAAGAAGCTGGAGAGGGCTTCCGATCTATTCATATTAAGTCTATTTCTTTCTAGTCTTGACTTTTACAGCACTCCCTAGTCGTGAGCTCCTCATTTTTCAGTGTTTGGGGCTAGGTGGCAGGTTTTCAGTTTCCATCAGTGCAGTAAAGAGGATGGTTACCCCCAAGTGCCTGAGAGCACCCAGAAGAGGCAGAGGAAGTCTGGAGGAGGGAGTGGGATGATTGCTGTCCTTTGCAGCAGAGAGAATGAAGAGGGACAGCCATGCCAGGATACAGCCCTACCTGCTGCTTTTCAGTAATCACCCAATTTAGCTGGGGCTTTTTTCTCCCCTTCTCTCTACTTTTTCACTATTGAGATTTATGGGGAGGAAGGTGCACAGCTGCATCCGAGCACTATAAACCTCTCGTGGCTGGTAAAAACTGACGAGCTATTCTTCCAGCTTGTTAGCAGTCAGGAAGATGGAAGGAAGTGGGAGGAATCCAGAGGGTGAGGTTTTCTAATGCCTCACTTGTCACTGCCGAATCCAGAGCTATTTATGGTGCAATTATCACCGCAGACAGACTCCTTTATCATCTAGCCAATATTCTGGGTAGAAATCCTATTGCAGCCCAGCCACTCCATACATCATCTGGGTGCAGGCAACGGCCAGGTGAAGAGGTTCTCTTGTGGAGAACACATCTGCAAGATGATGCTTGTCCCTGGCATCCCTGTGCAGCCTGTATTTACAACCACGGAAGAGGCTGTCGTCCTTCTGGCCTTCCAGTGCAGTGGGAGGAGGTGAGGACAGTGTAGGGCTTTTCTGCACAGTAATGCAAGGGGGACTCCCTATGGGAATCTGCTCCAGTTGGGTACAAGAGATGGGTTTTTACTTGTAACACAAACACAGAGCCAGGAACAAGTCTGATGGACCAAGGGCAGCAGGGAGAGGGAGCTGCAGGGAAGTGATGGGAGGTGTGTTTTGAATCCCCTGTGGTTTCATACAAGAGCTACAAGGAAGGAGAGGGGGAATCAAGCACTTTACATCCTGGCCATGTCTCTGAACAGCAATTTCCCTGGTCTCTATGTATCCCCGCAGCTCTGGTGTACCCTCATTACCTCTTGTCTGACACCTTTGCCAGCATCATCCTCAAGGAGTCACCTTGGGTGGACATGGCTCTCCTGCAGACCAAAATATAGATTTATCTTTTTTCCCAAGGATTGCTTTTTCTTCAGGGAGGAAATTGCCCATTTCTCTTACTTTGTTCTGAGATACCTCCCGAAGCTTGGCTGTGGTTCTCCCTGGGCCTACAAGGTCTCAGAGCAACCAAACCACTCCTCTGGCTGATTTAGAACACCCCCGGAGCAGACTGGCTCGTGGACAACATCAATTAAGCCAATTTTCCTCTTAAATACCTATCAGGTAAAAGACTGTGGCGTAGATCCTCTGGTGTCAAATAAGGGTTCAGCATCCCCTTGCCCTCCCCGTTGGCTCATGCGTTTCTCTGTTTCATTGCCCATTCTTGTAGACCTTGTCAGAACCTCAATATATCTGGAAGTTGCTTCCCCTGTGTCAAACGTGGGTGGTACTGGGCAGCTGCTGGTGGGAACGAGCAAGAACACACGCAAGGCTGCTGAGTCACGCAGCCTAATTTTCCTGGAGGACCGGACTAAACTCCCACTCATGTCGCTGTTTCCATTGCCAGGGCAGAGCTGAGATGCGCCCTGGTCTCCACTCCACCAGCTCCACTTTATCTTTCATTGCACAGATCTGGGGCTGCATTTATTAAGGGATGAGCCTTAATACTTGCAAGAAGTGAAATTCTTGAGGCACAAGGAGCTAAAATAACCATTCCTTGCACTGCCTCTTTACCTTCTAATCATCACTGACTGCTGCCTTTGCACATTCCTGGGTGCTTGAAAAGGGGAGAGCAGATCTATGCCATGTAATTTAATACACCAAACATAGTGGCTTAATTGCAATCCCCATAAGCCAGCCGCACAAAACTCTAAAGAAATTCAATTCATTTATTTCGATTTGCACAAGTCTCCCTCTCAGACTGTAATTAATGGAAGGAAACAATTAAGGTAAACACGGCACAGCCGAGAGGGCTGTCCTTGCTAAAAGTCACATTTTGTTTTAATAATGTCGTATTTATATAAGTTCTGTGTTTTTAACAAGTTCCCTATTTCCTTGACATTTAATCAGTCTTGCCTGATCTGAATTGGTTTTCTGAAATCAGAATTCAATAGGGAAGCAGGAAGGGACAGAATCAGGATGGACATGGCTGTTGGCACAGGTTTAGACAAGGGGCCACACTCTGTATCCCAAGGGAGACAAGCAGGTCCCACTCCAACTGCTCCAGCAATGGCTTTGAGTCACTTTTTTCATCACTTGTCATTTGTCAGCATTGAATACATCCCGTGGGTGAGTTTTCTTGGAAGCGATGGCACATCTGTCTTCATCACTTTCCTTTAAAGAGCAGGAACAATACAATCCGTCTTTCATTGCACCAACTGGTATTGCTAAAGGACGGGAAAAACCAGATGCTGGCTTCCTCCTTTTTCTTCCTGCCTTCATTAACCTTAACATGTACTGTGTTTGTCTTCCATCCAAGCCTGGCTTTGCTGCAGAAGATCTGAGCTCAAACAATCCCATGTTGATTTTCCACTGCCTCGTGTACAGACTGGTCTAATTAGTTTGGAAACATACCACTTGCTAAAGAAAGATGAGGCACAGCCTGACACCTGCTGTATTAGTTATTTGCCTCTTTAGCTAATTGCTTATCCACACTATTAGGTGAGGGAAGTTGCCACCAATGTCTCGCGTGTAAGATGCTGGATGGGAAGGGAGGAAATGGCGCTGTTGGAAAGGTCAGGTTTCAGGATGATGGAACCAGGGCCAGTGCTAGTGCTGGTTTGCACCTCTCCAGGGATGTAAAAGCTATGTGCAGGATATGTCCCAGCATCTGCAGAGGTGGGGACTGGATGTGGTGGGAAGAAGGACACATTTGGAGAGCGGTCCCCCCCTGCCTACCAGAGACACTGTTGGGTGATCCTGGGCAGCTTGTTGCTTTTCCCACCCCTGGTTCTAGCGTGTAAAATCCAGAGAAGGATATAGATGTCTATCTGGAAAGCTCCGATGAGGAATGTTATATAAAGTCCAGAAGTCATTACTAAGTGTTGTTGGGATGCAGAAGGGAGGAGTGCACAAACAAATGGAAAAATACAGGGAGGAAATGAATTCAATCAGCAGAAAGCAAAGCATGGTCAGGACATCCCATGCTGCGGGGTAGAGTGGATCATCTCCCCTTGAGTCCTGAGTACCACCAAGAAGCCTATGCAGAGTTGCACTCATCTCCCCGTCGCTCTGGCTGCTGATCTGGGGTGAAGCTGTCATGCACACTGCAACCAAGTCTAGGGCAGGGAGGCTGCAGGTGCCCATAGCTGCCAGCTGCAGCCCTGCCAGCCTGCTCCAGATCCAGCCTCTCTGCAGGCTCATGAAGGAGGACAAGGAGAAGCAGGAGCCCTTGGAGGTGAAGAAGTTGCCAGGTCTTTCCCAACTGCTCATCCCAGCATCCAAGGGGCTGCCTTCACAAGGGGTCATGGGATGCTGTTCTGTTCCAGCTGTGTGCTGGGACAAGGGGGTGCTTCGTCTCCCACCTTTGAACTGAGGGCCATGCCCAGCAGGGTGGCTGAAGAGCAATGGGGAGGAGAACACCCCCAGCTGCCCCAGTCCCCTATTCCAGTCCCAAAAGCGAAATCAAGACCTTGTTGTTCTGGATGGAGAGAGGATTCCCCAGCACAGACCCTGTGCACGATTGGGTAAATCAAAGTGGTTTCAAGTGACACGGGTCCCCAGCTTCACTTCTGTGTTCTGGGCAGCCTGGCTGGGGCCAGCAGAGCTGCTTTGGGGGCTAGGGGTGAGCAAAGTACGGCCAGGACTCTGGTAGAGGCTGCTGCTCCGCATCCCCTCGGCTGTGCCTTCCTTCTCGTCTGCACTCAGCCTCTTCCTGACATCTAGTGGGAGCAAGGCAGCACGGCAAAGGGATCCGGTGCCAGATCTGGACTCCAGGAGAGCTGTCCTGGCAGGACACCCCTGTGCGCAGGGTTGAAGACCATCCCCTCTCCACCCTCTCATTTTAGAGCCCGTGCTTGCATTGGTACTCATCCCTAATGCTACGTGCCAAATGTAAACCTGCTCCCAACTTGCAGCCCTCTGCCCATGGCTGCAAAGGCAGAGCAGGGCCAAGATGCTCTCCACACCATTCGAGGGATGGACGCGCTCCAGGGTCACCCCACACTGGTCAGTGTCTGCCAGGCTGGTCTCTGTGTTCCCATCCTTCTCCAAAGCCTTTATCCGCAATGATGGGCAGGAGCTAGGCCCTCCTGCCTTGTTTTACACGCTCACTTTCTGAGAGCAAAACCACCTCATTATTTTGCTTTGTTGCCACCTACCTTTGCTGGACTGTGTTCACTGTGTCTATCTCACTTGCTGTCTGAAGGCCCAGGTGTCACCTCTCCACATACCCCCAGATCTCTCTGCTGGTGTCTAAGCACTTTCATCAATGTGCAATTAAAAACCTGCAATAAACCATCACCAGCAACACCAAAAAAGAAGTCTTTTATTTCAAGGATCAGGAAGAAAAATTAATTCAAAGAACAACGATATTAATACAAACCCCAAAGGTGCTACAGGCAAACTGCAGTGATTTGCACCAGTCCCTTCCCTTCTTCACAGGCAGATGTGGCTCTGGCCCCAGTGTGGACACTGTGTAGACCTACACTTCTCCACTGCACCCCTAATGCCACCCCCTTGCTGGAGGGACCCACAGAAGCCCAGGGAGCTCCCACAAGTGAGGAAAAGGTAGGTAAGGTGCTTGGGATGGGGGGAGCCACTGGGTAAGTTCACATTGAAGCCACAGCATAGAAAGGCAATTCCCAAATGCCAAGGGCACCCTGACACCTGCATGTACCTGCCCAGGATTACAAGGCATCCCTCCATGCCCAGCCCCATCCGACATCCTGGAGACACAGCCTCTTGAGGGAATCATGGTGCCCCAGAGACAGAGGCAAAGTAGAAGAGGACATGGCATATAGGTAGAGAATCAAATCCAGCTTTGAATCGCCCTCAGCTGCCTTGTGCTTCCTCTGGTCCTTGCGGAGCTCTGGGCCCCAACTGTTGCTCTGGGGAGGCACTTTACTGGAAAGAATGGAATGAGACCTCTTGTTTCTGGAGAGAACAGGACAGGGAAAGGTGGTGGCACTGGGCAGAGGCCTCCAGAGCTGTGTCCAGAGCCTCCTGCCCCAGCAACACATGCAGTAAGGAGCATTGTAGTCACAGCCTGATTTTCTCTCCCACACACAGGTCCCACAGCACACTGAGTTCCTAGATGGGGTGTGGAGTCCTTGAGAGGAGCAGGGATAAAGTTTGGAAGCAGTGTTAATCCAATGACCGAGTGGATGTCATTCCTAAAATTCAACCCAAAACCACTGAAATTACAGATGTGAGACAAAAAAAAATCTCAGACCTTCAGGATTTCCATGGAGGAAAGCCTGGTCTGTCCAGGGGAATAATCTTCCCTATGGTTAGAGAAAGCAGAAGACAGGCACTCTGCAGACAGGCAGTTTCCCCCCTGACAAGGTGCTCAGTCTCAGACACCGGTCCTACCCTCTCCCTGCCTCTCCAGAGGTTTGGCTCCCTTTAACTTCACTCTGTGCTCTTTCGGGGGATCCCGAACTGTTCTGGGTCCCAAGTGCAAGGATTTGGCCTCAGCTCAGATCCTGACTTCTCCTGAGGAGGCAGAAAGTTTACAAGAAACACTGAACACAGGGAAAACTGCAGTAGGCAAGGAGCAGAAAGTCTCACAAAATCACTGCCAGGCTGAACTCCCTCGTGTCATAGGCTCCTTCCAGCCCGCAGGTCCAAATCTGGAACCTGAACTCAGCCAGGCCTGGGAACAGCAGCCTTTAGGTGGGGGAAAAAGCACCAATGCTGCCAAATTATCCCCCTTCCCACAGCACTTCACAGCAGTGGAGCTGGCAGTCAGAGAAGCGGCCAGGAGCCTCCAGCACAGCTCCAGGGCCAGCAAACTCAGCACAGCAGACATGGCACAGCACCAAGCAGAGCAGTGGGAAGGGAATGCCCAGACCCAGATACATTTGGAAAGCAGCATCTCCTTGCTCTGTGCCATGGAGGTGGGTAAGAGCAGGACCATGGGTTTCAGATGGTTTAATTTAATCTTTCTTCTTGTTTAAATAGAAATGAAGTCAAAGTTGTAAGCGGTGGCACAAGAAAGCCGTCACAACATCCCTGCCCCCTGGTGCCACCTCTCCCAAGCCTCTAAATCTGCTACATGGAGCTGGACCAGATATCAAAAACCCCTATGTTGTCTTCCAAAGGAGAGCCAAAACCGAGGCGATCCTGGCACCCAGTCCTCTGCCCTAAGGACAATCCTTAGCACCAAATCAGCTCTAGAAGTGATTTTAGTTCCCGAGACACAACCCATCTTTCCATCCCAGTCCCCACTTTGGCAGCATGGCACTGCCACACACCAAGCAGCTCCTGGAGGCAGCATGGACGGTGCAGTGTCACTATAGCGCAGCATCACTGCTGATGCAGCACCAGCCCCACTGACCCAGGCAGAGGGTGCCCAGCTCATCACCAAGGTCACTTTTGGAGGGGCTCAACCACACTTAAACACATAAGAATCCCTTGGGGTGCTCTCCCAGAACTGGGGGGCTCAGACATGGCCCCGGGGACTGCGCTCAGGGGGCTGCTGCAGCAGAATGGCCAGGATGTGCTGCAGTTGCATGAGGCGAGCGCGCAGGGATGTGGTTGAGAAGAGGTTCAGCTGGTAGGACTGGTCAAGGGGCAGGATGGAGATGAGCCACCAGCACCACGTCGGGCCGTCTGCTGAAGCCTGGAAGGGAGAGAAGGAGAGAGCCTCGCATCAGGAATTGCAAGGTGGATGCATGGACTTCGGGCAGCATCACTGATGGGAAACAGTTACTCTTGTCAGGATAGGAGTGTCAGCTTTAGCTTAAGGTATTCCTCCAAACAGCTCCATTGTCTAACCAGGCTCAAAACTGCTGGATAAGCCAATTCCATTTCCAGACAAGCATTCCCCAGGGAGTTTCCAGACACAGATGTAACCAGAAAAAAGTCTATACTAAAGAGACAACAAAATATCTTATGCATTTCCTTGTTCAAAGCAATGCTTTTTGGAAGCACAGGCTGAACCCTGCATAGTTGGTGTCTTTTGGGGGGTTTGCCATATCATCACTCAGCAACGCAACGTGCAGGCCAGAAAACTGTCCAGTGCTTTTGTAAACTGGCTCTCTTAAAACCTGAGCCAAATCAACAGGGAAATGCTCCACTCAGCTGAAGGAGGAAGAGCTGTTTTGTTATTTTGAGCCCAGCATTGACGTGACTGCTGGCCAGGAGGACCTGGAACAAGCCGGCAAGAGATATTTGTGATGATCCAGACAGGAAACACTTTCTTAAAGGAGTGAAAATTGAATTTAGGTTGGGGTTTTTTCCCCTTCAAAATCCGAATTTGTCAGAGAAATTTAATAAGCAGACTGCACCCTGCCTTCATAGTTCCTCACCTCTGGCCAGCTATGGCTGTCTCAAAGGAACACAGTGAGAAAGGAGACCACAGATTCGCTGAGCTGTGGGGTTTCTTTGCCTGTTTTTTTGTTTGGTGTTTTTACCCAAGTGTTTTCAAATCCAAACAGTTCAGTTTCTCAGTTCTCACTTAGGAAAAGACCGTGGGAAAGCTTTTAAAACTCAGTGACTGGTTTCCAAGAGAAGTTTAAACCCATAAAGAAACATTAAACAGTTTGAACAAACAAGCCCTACATCTCTCTGAGTGAGATGCTGTAACTGGTAGCGGGAGTGAAAAATAGGGTTTGTTTTGCTCATCTTACAATAGAATCATAGAATGGTTTCGTTTGGAAGGGACCTTAAAGCTCATCCAGTTCTAACCCCCTGCCACTGGCAGGGACACCTTCCACTAGAGCAGCTTGCTCCAAGCCCCTGTGTCCAACCTGGCCTTGAACACTGCAGGGATGGGGCAGCTACAGCTTCTCTGGACACCCTGTGCAAGTGTCTCACCACCCTCACAGGGAGGGACTTTTATCCTAATGTTTAATCTCAGTCTCCTTCTGTCAGTTTAAAGCCATTTCCCCTTGTCCTGTCACTATATGCCCTTGTAAAAAGTCCCTCTCAACGTTTCTTGTCTCTTGTTGTTTAACTGAGCAGGGAAGCAGAGTAATTGGCGCAGGAACCTGCTTCAGAGGCTGTCATGCTACCCGCTCTATTTAGCGCATCCCTTCCCTTGGGGCATTACCTGGATATCCTCCTCCTTCTCCGGCAGCGGTCCATGCTGCATCAAAATGTGCCTTGAGGCAAGGTCTTGATGTTCACAGAACTGCTGAGCCAAGCGGTAGGTGCTTTCGTGCAGGCACTGCAGCTCCTGCAGCTCCTCCCCAGCCACCTGCATGGAGGGAAGAGGAGAAGGTGTCCATGGGGATGCTCTTTCCCACCGCAGCAGTAGCTTTTGTCCTGGCCCTGCCCTCACCTTCCTGTCCTCCAGATACTCGATGTCAGCAGTGTTGTAGCCGTCCCTGTGGCCACGGCTCAGCACCCGGAACCGCCGCCGGCCGATGGTGTCCACCAAGGACCTGCCATCCGCCAGCAGCTCGATCTGCCGTATCTCCAACATGCAGCCGTAGTCAGCAAAACTGGAGGGAGACAGGGAGAGAAAAGAGGGGTTAACTGGGGTACCAGTGGTGAGAGGGATGCTCTACTGAAGGCACCACCTTCAAAGGAGGGGAAAACCCAAGAACTAGCTGGCAGGAGAGGGAAATTTTGGAGTTACCACTTGCTGCTAAAAGGGCAGGGAGTAGTGAGCACACTGCCTGCACACCCTTGGATTTGCCATATAGCAAAATGTCTGAAGTCCTCATACTGCCTTGATATACCGTGGCCCTGACAATACCATCCCCTGCAAAGACATCCTCCCAAAGCCCAGAAAATGTTATTCATCTCATTTCACTTGAACAGGACTGTAGCACAGGGAGGATATGGCATGTAAATACATGTATTTAACAGAGTATTTGGCTTGGGAGTCTGGAGACTGAACCCATCCAAGACCTGGATGCCATAAGGAACATAATGGCCACACTGCACCAAGCAAAAGCTCGTTTAACCTGATGTTCTCTCACAGCTCATTAAAGGCAAAGTATGAGAAATGTGGCAGTTTTCAAGTGCTCACTAAGAGGAGCTGGAGGTCACAGACAGGGAACCGTGCAGCTGAGACACGTTGAGACAGAAGCTGTTCCTACACCACTGTATTTAACAGCAAGTGCTGGTTATGCCCAGCTCCAGCACTAGACCCACTCCTCGTCATGGCTGTGATGATGCTGGGAGGCAGCGAAGTCCCATTTCACTCTACTGTGTGGTGAATGCACAACTTCCCTGCTGGGTTTATCAGTGGGGTGCAGTGGGATAGGAACCCGACTCCTTCTCTTTGAACCCCTTGGGATTTTAGATACTTGGGGCTGGGGCAGAGAGGGGTAAATGAGCCAGGGCAGAGGGAAGCCGCCTTGCCCCAGAGCTCACCTTTTCCCATGCTCATATATACACATCCCGAACCTCCTCGTGCCGGTCTCCTGGCACCGCCGGATCATGAGGCGGTAGCGAGGCTCGAAGACATGCAGAGGGCAGGCAATGCCGGGGAAGGACATCGTGCACACAAAGATGGGGATGTTCTTGGTCAGGCTGAGGGACAGGAGGAGGGATCACTGTGAAAGCTCCTGGAGTAAATCCCAATCCTGCTCCCACAAACCAGATGTGTCCTTTACCCCAGGAAGTGATTCTCTGGAGCAGAGCAAACCAATGCTTCCACTTGGGCTTACCAAGAACCCAAGGATAAACTCTGCCCACAAAACAGCTCCTTGCAGGGATGCTCCCTCATCCCCAGGTGCCCCATGGGGCACGTCTGCATCCACCCAACACTGCTATGATGTGGTCCTAGAAGTGGGACAGACATCACTTCAGCAGAACCAAGCCACAGCAATGGTATGTGGTGAGGACAGACCCCTCAGGCCCCCACGCATGCACACACATGCACAGTGGAGCAGGTCCCTACTTACTTGGAAAGCTCTGCTATCTCAGCCTGGTGCAGGTCCCTGCGCTCAGCCAGCTCAGTGGGGAAGGTGGCCAGTATGATGTCCTGCAGCAGCACAGTGGGGCTGTAGCTTCCAGCCTTCAGGTACTAAAAGAAATGAGACCCAGAAATAGGTTGGAGAAGAGCAGGGGGGGGGAGGCTGAATCACGCTCACTTTTATTAGAGCCGAGGGTAATTTTAGATCAGAGAAAGTCAGGGATAAAACCTATCGGTGGATGTCAAGCCATCAAGCAGGGCAGGATGTCAGCTCCACCGAGACCTCCAGACAAAGCTCGGATCTAGGGCCTACCCAATGCAGTGTCCTGTCTCTGACAGTCATGCAGTCCTTATATGACAGCCTAATTTCCCTGATGATCTCATCCGAATCATTAAAGATTAAATCAAATCTCTAGGCCATCAGGTTTTCCATCCATTTCCATTTTTTAAAGTAATTAGCATTCACTTCTTTCCTTCTCCCTTTCTCCCTCTACCTCTCTGCCCTGTTTACAATCTCACTAAATCACTGTTGCATCTTCTGGAAATGAATCTCTCGGTCTTAATTATCAACAGTCTAGTTTTTCCCAGTTGAGTGGAGCTGATACCTCTGTGCCAGGGAGCTGCCAACACAAGAGCATTGCTCCTTCCCACCCCAGTCCTGGCTCTCCCTAGGGCTCCATCCCACGGGACACACGGCCTCACCTCTCTCAGGCTCTGTTTGCAGAGGGGGCAGTTGGGCCGGTGGTCCAGGCAGCGCTCGAGGCACTCCTTGCAGAAGGTGTGCCCACACGGCGTCGTCACTGGCTCAAAGAACATCCTGCAAAGGGACCAGGGTCAATGGACCACAGAGAACATGGGGCAAGGAGCGCAGGTAAAGCCCAGCAGAGAGAGACTTCACAGAGCCTCTGTTCACAGGGCTGGGTGCCCTCAAAGCTGTCGTTCCCCATGCCTGGCTCAGCGCCCTGCTTTGGAAACCCCGTCTGGCCTCAGCCCTATGATGCAGGGGTTTCACAGAGTGCTCAGGGACTTGAGAAGCCCAGGCTGGTGTTGCAAGGGTAGAGCAGGACAGGGTGGGCAAAGCTGTGGGTGCAGCTTCTGGCTACCCCTGGCTTTGTGCCTGCATCTTCCTTGATTCATCTTGCTGAAAGCAAGAGATTTTGCTTCCAGCAGGAACAAGACATTTCCCATCTCCCCTCCTACCATTCCAAGGGAAATTTGCTGCCTTCACCAGCCCTCTCCACTAAAGACAGCGATACTGGAGAGATGCAACACCATGAAAGCTATCTCACACTGTGTTTTCCAAGTTCTGGCAGCCCATGGTTATGAAACTCACCTTCACTACAGCTGCACTGGGTAAGCTCTGCTTGTAGCTCCTGTTAATTAAGTGCAAATGTTGCTACCTGGTTTATTCCTTCAATTAGCAGTCTGGGCTCAGACTGTGGGACTTGCACAACAATAAAAGATGAGTTCCAGGCCTGAGCACTGCTTCCCATCCCTGCAGGGTCCCCATGGACCTCATCACTACGCACACAGCACCCCCTTCTGCAGCTCCCCAGACACACAGTGTTGTGCAGCTTAAAAAGCAGTGATGGGAAAGTGCCTCCTTCTCCCCTGCCCTGAGAGCAGAGCCAGCAGCAAGCTCTCAGGTTGCTCACAGGTAGCTCCAGGATCAGAAGTGAAATGAAGGTCGTGGGAAAGCCATGCTCAGCACTGAGTCCTGACTCTTCCTCAATATTGGTTCCCTGTTCTCAGAAGAGACCTAAGTTCACCTAATGCAGATCAGATACAGCTTTGATCTCTCTCTCTGCTGTGCCATTCCCCCATGCCGTGCCCGGACCTGGAAAAAGCTGCCATACAGGAGACCTAGACCGTCTTGCACATCCAATGATGCAACATCCAGCCTCTGCCAGCAGGCACTTGCACAGCTGCTTGAGGTCCTGGGTCATGCCAGAAATAACAGCCTGGTTTGAGCATGCCCTGTGGCAGCACCCAGGCCTGAGTCAGCAGACAGACACTGGCCCTAACCTGTTCCCTTTTCCACCTCCAGAAGGCATGTCGCTGGGAAATGCTCTTCTTTGGGTTTTTAACATCCTCATCATGGATGGTATTTCCCTGGGGCAACACCTTCCAGTTTCAGGTTCCATTTACAAAGGGCAACCATCACCTTCAGTCTTTGACCTCACTGAACATCCCCACCTCCACACCAAAGTCTCAAGCAATACAGACCTAAAGATGCTGCACCCTGAGACAGGGCAATCTGAGCTCTTAGAGTGTGGCAGGGCAAAGCATGTCCCTGTCTCCCCCTCTTATCTCTACTGAAACCTGTGTTTCAGCAGTACTGGGGATTGAGTTTGCTATTAAGATGTGAAGACAGATCCACACCAGGAAAGAAAACCCAGTAGGTGCTAATTCATCATCCTAAAAGCTCTTCTGCTGGAGAGCTCACCGCATGCAGAGGGAGCACTCCACGTCAGATACACTCAGCAGCTCCCAGCAGGGCTGGGTTATTTCTTCTTTGTTATCTAGTGTCAAAAGAGAAGGAAAGAGAAGATTTCAATCAGAAAATTAATCTTTGCTTTCTGATCTTGTCCTACGGTGTAAGTAGTTAACTGCCACACAAAGTAAAGTCAAAAACAGAACTGCCAAAACGCAGCAGAAATCCCTCTATTAACCCATGTGGGTTCATCCATAACACTTACATCGCTGGGTCTCATAGTACTTGGAAGAGGAAGGTGGTGTCTCCCTACCCCTTTTTGCAGGCAGGGAAACTGAGGCACTGGGAGGTGAAGTAGCCTAAGAAACTCCCAGATGGATGTCTCTGGAGACCTGCCATGACCTTTATGCAAAGCCAGGTATGTGGCAACCATCGGCTGAAAGCACATTCATATCAATGGAGGTGCCACTTCCCATAATGCACATTCCTCACAAGGGAACTTAATCTAAATCTGAACCCAATTAAACCCATGAGAACCTAAAGAAGCCTTTCCTGTTACTCCACACAGGGAACAAGTGACATCTGGCTTTAGCAAGAACTTTTCACCAAGCTAAAGCCAGAAGTTTGTTCAACACAGGATCCTTCTCACATGCATGAAGAGCAGTGAATGTGCTGACCAGAGCTGCCCCACTGTGTGCCCTGGGATGTCAGCTCACTGAGCTGGCTCACAGCACAAACACCAAGCTTTCAATGCCAAAATGGCTTTTAAACAAGTATTTTGCATGAGATGAGATTTTGGTACCTTTGATGACACTCACCTACCAACCACTGGCCCTGCCTCTGTGCTGAAGTCTCCGGTTCTTGCTGTTGCCCCAGCTGGGAAAGGGTGGCTGTCCCTTGGCTGTGCTCAGACTGAGCATCCCCTTTGCCATCTGTTGGCTCTCCCTCCTGAGCCTAGGCACAACAAAGATGAAATTGAGTCCATTAAATATGATGTTTTGGGTTTTTATTTCCTGAATGCAGTGTGACTTGGGTGCTCAAACACGAGAATCGAAAATCTTAGCAGAAGTATTGCAGACTAAAACTGGGAGAAGAATGGAGACAGAAAGCACCTCTTCGGTTTCCCCAGTCCCCACAGGACCAGCTCCAACAGTGTCTTTGCTCTCCCACCTTCCACTACTTGCAGTTTCTCATCCCAGCATGCATCCACTTGCAGGTGGCTAAGGTCCTGCACAGACTTTCCTTATTACACCTCCTTTTCCTTCATTAGAAAACCCCAATTTAGGATGTCCCAGAGGGACTTTAAGTCCCATTGCAGGCTGAGATCATTGCAGTCTCTCTTACCTGAGCTTCTGCAGAAGATGGGAGCACAGGGCTCCATCCATCAACCTGGGGACCAGTTGAGCCCTGATGAGCATCACCCGAGCATGCAGCAGCCGTGTGTGCCTGGGGAGCACCCTCTTGCATTAAGATCTGCAAGGAAAAAGCAGGGCTCAGGGAGTGCTGGGAGAAGGAGGCAGGGAGGTGGATGTGCTGCCAGGCTCTGTCTTTCCCCAAAGCAGCCTCCTGCTCACTACAGGACACGTCGGGGTTTCTTGTTTCAGCACTGGCTGAGCTCTGTCAAACAAATGCCTTGGCAGAACATAAGGAAGAAAGGAGCACAAGGCAGTGAACAAAGTGGTGTATTATAAGGGCTGGGAGCTGTGTTCTCCATCATTCACAGACAGCAGGAAGGGAGTGAGCTATGGGGGTACAAAGTCATTCCTCATTCCCCTGTCCTTTTCCTGCTGGAGAGCAAGAGTCCACTCATGGCATGAAGCCCCCATGCTGGGGATACTGCCAGAGGCCACACCAGTGATGGCAGTTTTGGTACATAAGTGGTGCTGGCATGAAATCATCTGCAGGAAAGACACTGGCTCTGCACTGGCAGCTTTTGGCTGGTGCTTTGCCTTGGGTGACTACTGAGGCTGCCCCAAAGCCCACCTCATGCCATGTGTCAGCATCTACACCTTGCAAAACCTGAGGCTTGAAGGTATGGACTGAGGAAGGGGAGTTTTCATGGGTGAACCTGCATTGGAGCAATGGGAAGGCTCTTGGACCAGGACCTAATGTCCCTTGATCCCATCCGGAGCAGCACAACTGTGACTGATGTGAGTCCTTCAAAGGACATGGGTGATGTGAGGGCACAGGACCCCACTACAGTACCACTCACCTTCTCCATCTCTTTCCGAGAAGGGTGGAAATGGGGATTGAGTGCCAGGCAGTGTTCCCATGCCTGCAGGGCTTCAGCTCTCTGCCCCATCTCCAGAAGCACCTTCCCTTTCCTGAAAAAACCCTACAGAGCAGAGAAAACCTGTGGTGACAATGAGACAGTGACCAGCTAAACCCATGCCCTGGCAGCCCTGAGGGAATCTCCCTCCAGCCTCCTCCCATCCTGAGCCAAAGCACCCGGACACGCTGCTGCTCCCATGCTCAGACTTGTCTAAAAACTACAGGAACTTGTAAAATGGGACTCTCCCAAAGTTGCAAAAGCCAAGCTAACAAACCCTACAGTGACCTACAGAGGGAAGCAAGGGCTCTGCCTTTCAAGGTGCAAAACAATTACCAACAAGGCACTGGAATAGGTTGCCCAGGGAGGTTGTGAATGCTCCATCCCTGGCAGAGTTCAAAGCCAGGTTGGACGAGGCCTTGGGTGAGATGGTTTAGAGCGAGGTGTCCCTGCCCATGGCAGGGGGGTTGGAACTTGATGATCTTAGGGTCCTTTCCAACCCTAACTATTGTATGATTCTATGATCCTATAAGTGCTTTGCATAACAGCAAATGAGTTCCCAGGGCTGATTTCTCCAAGGTCAGCTCAGGCTTTGTTCAGCACTTCCTTGACTCCCAGCTGTAGTCCTTTCACCAGCATAGATATATGCTCTATGAGCAAGAATGGACATGGCCCCAGACCTGGATTTGCGACATGATGGGTCTGGCAAGTGTATTCCTAAGCAGGGAGAATCCAATGGCTTGAATTCAGGAAAGGGGGAAACTGCTCCCGTACAGTAAGATTTGGCTCCAAGTGCAGCCAAAGGGGTCTTCTCTCTGCTCACCTCATGGTCTCTGGGCTCAGCCTTGCACACAGCATCCAGGTCCTCCAGTGCCTCTGTGTGCTGCCCCAGTGCTGCAAATGCTTCTGCCCGGCACAGCCGCAGGCAGCTGGCATCTGGGGCTGGAAAGAGAAAAGTTATCATTTATGGGGAATCCATGATGAGGCAGCAGGGCTGGAGATGCCACTGTGGTGTTACAACCCCTGCCTCACACTGAGCACAGCCAGCCCCTGCGCTCCTCTTTGGCAGGAGTCACTGCCCTCACAAGGCTCTGCAAGGAAGTTGTTTCCCCTTAATATAAGTTTAAAACTCTTTAAGACTCTTCCCTTTGTTTTTCCCCATCTCACCCAAACACTGTCAGCCAAGAGGCCCCACCACTGCCTTGGGGCTCGGCCATGCTGAGATCTGGGCTCTCATCCATCCTTTTGGGATGCAGCTAAATGCCATACATGTAATCCTTACAGGGGCTGTTGCCACAGGAGGCTTTACAATGTGATTCACCCAGCAGAGCCACAATAACATATTATCAAACAAGCCTGCAATGCCCAAGACCTGAATGCCCACAGCTCCAGGGAGCTCTCCTGGACCCACCTGGATGTAATCCCAGGGCAGAGGAGAAAGTAGAAGAGTTCAAGGATCTGCTCCCACCGCATGATTTGTGTTTTCCAATAAAAGGCTGGGACTTCCAAGAACGGAGGAAGGGAACTGAGCATCCATTTCCTCATCAGTGAGGAGATGAGATCTCAGTGGTGGTGACATAACCACGACACCCCAACTGTCACAGTGCTGGGCACCCGACATGCTCCTGCCTGCTCCTAAGTAACAGGCATTGAGACCCTCGTCTGTCCCGCTTCAGGGAAACCCCATAAAGACCTTCCTTCCTACCAGCACTGCCAGCAGGGGCACTGGGGTGGGGGATGTCGGGGAGTACAAGCAAGCAGCACCACAAAAGCCCACATGGAGTAACAAGGTGTGGTAATGTTTGTGGGTTTGAGTTGCAGAGATTCCCAGACCCACCCCATTATATCACAGCTTGCCACGGAGGTGACCTACATCCAGTGCTGTGCTGGCTTTTCAGCTAAGGCAATGGGGCTGTGCACCCAGCCCTGCCCACACCACTGCCTGCATCCACTGTCACCATTCCCAGGCACCTACCATGTCTTATCATGGAGGAGGAAGCTCTCCCACAGCTCCTCATCTGCTATGCTCAGCATGGAGCATGGGGAGATCTTGGTCTCTGCCTGGTGCCACCATAACGCAAACAGCATCTGCACCAAGGCTGCACTGGTCACACTGATCTGTGCAGCAGAGCAGCACCTGATCCCTCAGAGCTTATCTTCGTTTATAATGTTAGCTGGGACCTTATGGGTCAGGTCAGGAAATGTGGGAACTCGCTGCTCAGTATCCTGTCCCAAACACACATCCAGAGCTGAAATATTCCAGCCTCTAATAAGAGGAAGGGATGAACAAATGGGTACAAAGTCTAGAGGCTTATTTTCCATGTGGGCAAACCCATGCTATATGGAAAATAAAGCAACTGATTTGGCAAAAAAAGATGTGTAAACTGGGTCTATGAATTCTGCATTTCTCTTCTGCTGCAGCTGGTTTTGATCTATGATATCATTAGACATTAGGGACGTAAGCCAGCTGGCGGCCCAGGCAGCTGATGAGTGACTGATAGCACTTGCCAGCCTCCTGGCTCCAGGCATGTCAGGAGGCCTCCTGTGTTACGTGTTACAGGGCATTTTTTCGTTCACTTATTAAAAACAGAAGATAAAAAGTTGACAATTTACTTTCTCCCAAGCAAAAAGAGAGCTGCTGTACAGGGAGGGCTGAGCAGGGCACTGCACACCAGCCCATCATGCGATGCTGAGCCACATTCCTGTGAGTTAAACATTTATCAGTGGTTCTATTTGAAAGCAAAGGGAGCCCGTAAGAAGCTGTGCAGCCAGAAAGTGGGCTGCAGGAGTTGGAAAACACATCCCAAAAGCACCACCCACGTGGCTGAGCCTGAGCAGCACCAGCAAGTGTGGGTTTATGAGAGCTGAGGCTGGGATTGTAATTTCCTTCTTGCCCTGAAGCTGGACTTCCCCCTGTACTTCAGGGAACAGAGCATGCAGGGGAGGCTGAGGACAGAGCTGGCGATGCTTCCTCTTTCTACTCACAGAAGCTTTTTAGAGAGAGATCTATAATTGTACACCCCAATCAGACAAAAGCCTGGCAATAAGGAAGGAAAATAGCACTGGAGAACTAAGCACATACATCTGAGTTGAAGGATGGGGATGCAGGCTATGAGACAGATGCCTCAGGAGGTTGCATAAAGGGACTTCCTTTCTGCTGCCAACATGGGGATGGGCCAGCCAGCTCAGCCCTTTGGTTCCAGCCATACCCTGAACCTCTGGCACTTGTAGTGGGCGATGAATAAATGCCTGCGCTGCGGGAGCAGAGATGACTGCTGTCATAGAAACACCAGTGAAGAAAGGACCTTCTGCCTCCGTCCTGCTCCAGACGCATTGTATAACTCTTTTTATTTAAGCATTACTCTCCAAGGAATCCACTTACAGCCACATATTAAAGCAGATCAGCCTCCACTGGGCCCAATCCTGCCTTGCAGGCAAATGACTCTCTAAAGCTGGCCACAGAAAGGGGCCGGGGCTGCCCTGCACCATGGAGCTCAGCCAAGGCTGTGTCCTTGCCAGGCTCTGGGGGCAAGGATACGTCTTCGGACTGGAAAAGTCCCAACCACTTTACGTAATGGCCACCCCCCTCGGCAGAGCTTTTCCTCTGACCCTGAAATATTGCTGTGTGGGAAGACACAAGAAGCTGCTGCTCTTTCCTCTCCAGCCACTTGCTAACACCAGAAGCATGTGGCTGATAGGACACAGGCTCCGTGTCCTGCCTGTGGCCCTGGCAGCTGGGATGAGCAGCATGGCTTGCCCAGCCACCTACCCTGGAACACCTTTAGACATGAGAGAGATGCCTTGTTACTGGATCCTCCCTCCTAGTCCTGACTTTCCAACACTTCAGCTTCCCCGGTCTCCCAGCTCTGGACCATGCCGGCTCGGACGGCACTATGGCACTGGCACAAAATGCATTGGTACCCACCTGCTCCCCCATCCCGGTCCGAGCATCCTCAGCCCAGCCCCGCACCCCAAACCCGGCAGCCCCTCGGTCCCGGTGGTGCTTACCCAGCTCGACCCCTCTCTGCGCCATCCTCAGCGCCTCCCGCACGTCCCCACGCGTGAGGCGGTCCCGGACGCGGGCCACCAGCCCGGCCAGCCGGCTCTCCAGGGGCACGCACTTCTCCAGGAGGCCGCAGAGCACCACGCTGCTCCTCGCCGCCCCGACGCCCAGCACCTTCAGCCTGTCCTGGCACAGCGGGCAGCGGGGCCCCCCGAGGCACCCCTTGCAGACAGTGTGCCCGCAGGACACCGTCACCGGCTCCCACAGCAGGAGGAGGCAGGACGGGCAGCGCAGCACGTCCATGCCCCGGCTGCCGGGGCCGAGGGGCTGCCGGCCGGGGCTGCACCCCCGGGGCGGAGGGGACGTGTTTTCGGGGCCGTGGCTCATCGCTGCAGCCGGAGAGACGGAGCTGCCCTTAGGGTGAGCGCTGCGCGCACACCCCAACCGCTGCCCGGTCCCCGAACATCGCCCCGCTCCGCCCCGCTCAGCTCAGCTCAGCTCAGTTCATCCTCCCCAGGGCTCCCGCCCCGTCCGGCCCGACCCGGCGGAGGGCTGCGGGGCCCGGCTCGGTACAGCCTGTCCCGCCGGGGCAGGTCCCCCCCGGGGGTGCCGGTGGCGGAGCTGCGGGGGCCGCTATTGGCTGCCGCCGCCGCCCCGCCCCGGCCGCGTTTCGTAACGGAGCCGGCGGTACCGGGCGCTCGGCGGAGCGGGGTCGGTGCGGCCCCGGGCGGTGTGCGGGGATGGGGGATGCTCCCGGATGGGCACGGGCAGGGGGCTCCGAGCAGCCGGGCTGCGGGGGACAAGTTGGGGTACTCGGGGGTGAAGCCATGCGGGGATGCTGGAGACCCATCCGGACCAGCAGGGGTGCAGCGTCCGGATGGATCTGGGGCACTGTGAAGCAGGACCAGGGTGTGAAATGCCAAGGGAGGTTTTTGGGGTGCCAGGGAGCTTTGGAGTGCTGCCGCGGCTGTCCTGGGGGGAACGGGGTGCTCTAGGATGGGGATGGGAGGGTGGGATGCTCCAGAGCAGCTGAGACATAGGATATCTGGGAGCAAGGGGAGCTGGACAGCCATCCAGAGAGAAGGGTGCCTCGGCTAGCTGAGGCTCTGCAGAGCAGGACTGGGGTGCATGTTGTTGGGGTGCTCCAGAGCAGCTAGAGCTGGTGAGGTGGACCTGTACAGGGCAAATGGACACCAAGTGTCCATTTTTGGACCCCACCATGCAGACCCATCAGGACAGGATGTCTGGGGGAAAAGGGGTGTACCTCCAGTGCAGACTGGAAACTGCATCTCCCTCAGATGCTTTACTTACAGAATTGAATGAGTTCAGAGCTGTATGGGGTCAATCCCCGACAGGATTGGCTTTGAGTCCCAAAAGAGATGCATCCCCTTGCCACACAGCCATACAGCAAGGGGCCAGCAGCTCTTGCATAGCAGATGCTGGGAACACAAGCTGAAATCTGACAACTCCAGAGCTTAGTAGATCAGACTTTATATAAGAATGATGCACATTACACAAGGGCTCTTTGTTTGCCTCCAAAAATAAATGGAACCTGTGTACACGCTGGAAGGGATGCTCTGGGAGGGAGATAACTAGTGGGACATAAGTGCTGGTGAAACCTGTGCCTCACTAAGGGAGTGGCTGGTGAAGGTTTAGGCTGTAGAGCAGGTTTTGTTTCAAAATCTACTGTAATTACATTAAACAGCTTATGACTGGTGTTAAAAGCTCAACAGTGAAGTAGTTTGTGTAGGCTTGGAAGGTTTTATGTATTCCTCCGTTATCTCTCCTTCATACTGGAGAATTCTCAGGCAATATTTAGCAGCACAGCCCGGAACACCTCCTGAGTGTGGCATTAAGGACACTGGTTGCCCAGGAGCTTTGTGGGGCTGTCGGGGACTCTACCCCATGGGGAACATTTTCCATGTTCCCCATTGCAGGATCAGTCTTTGGTTGCCCTCCCAGAGGGACCTACCACATCACTGTCCCCAGCAGCTGTCCCATGGGCATTTCTCAGATGAGCAAGGCTCATTCACATCAGACACCGTCCCTCCATGGTTTAGTTCTCACCATGGCTGGTTTTTCCACCAAAACCTGACTATTCACTAAAACAAAAGATTGCCACCAGGGAGCCCTCACCCATCTCACCTCTAGAGTTCCCCTCAAGGACACATTCATGGCTCCTGAGCTGTGAAATAAGGCTGATTTTAAGTTCTGTGGCCAACTTCGCAGTGATGCACTTGAAAAGTGCTCCTATAACCTGTTTGTGCGGCTCAGGGTGGGAGCAGCCAGGGTCAGGTGAAAAGCAAAGCACCTTCCATCACTCCAGCAGACACCGCGCTGTTCCCTGGGACCTGCTTTGGTTGTTTCCCCACCTCCTGATTCACTCCATAACCATCCTCACGTGTGTGGGCTCTCCAGCGCCTCGTAAGCAGTGAGGAGGATGTGCTGCCTTTGCATAATGTGTTAGAAATCAACCAACCAGGACACACACGTCCATTGAAAACCAGGCTTCATTAGCACCAGGGCAAGAACAATTTGTTTTCTTCATTCCACTCAGAGCTGAGCTAGTTCTGAACTCTGGCTGCTTTCTCTTGTCACTGCTGTGTTTGTGCTGACTCAGTACATAGCTGCAACAAACATACAGCTTTAAATGCTGAGTGCTAACCCTTCTGCGGGCCAGATGAGGACTCCATGCCTTGTGTAACACAGAACAGATCACACTGTGCTCAGAGCTATTTGCAAAGCACCATAGGATTTAGTTTATATAATTTATTTCCACTTTAAAGGTGGGAAACAGCCCAGGTCAATGCAGAGTGAGGAGTTCAGGTGTCACTGCAAGGGAAACCAGCTCCTCTGTCTCCCAGCCACAGGCACCATTTGTGCACCTCATTAATGTGGTCCAAGCTGGTGACAGCACAACATGGGGATAGGGGATTCACACAGGCTGGTTAGTGCGTAAATCTGTTGCAGGCACTGACATTTGATTTTGACACATTGGGGATTAAGGAGTGGCTCAAAGGTGACAACACCTTCCCAGTGGTGCCCTTTTTATGGCCAGAGATTCCTGCGTGCTCCTTAGGGTGTCTCCAAAGGCACCACAAGTGCTTGCTGAACAGCAGATTACACCCTGAATGTCATGACTGCTTTTGCACACAGCTATACCCGCTCTGCACAGCAGCCTCCTGCCAGGATGAGCCTGTCACCCTCAGACCTGAAAGTCCTGTTGCACAGAGGTAAAACAAGTTTTCCTGTTTCAAAGACAGCTGCAGGAGGAAAATGTTGGCATCCCACATGGGGATCCCACATCAGCAAGGGCCCCTCAGGGCTGATGCTGTCATGATTGTGTAAGAGCCAGTGCAGCCTCCTGGTGACCAGGCAAAGAGCCAAGGTCAAATCCAGCCTCAGCCCCTGTTCAGACCCACTCGTGCCCATGTGGTTTACATCAACTTTTTGCTGCTTGCCTGCAAGCCTCCAGAGTTGGTGTAGGGAACTATTTTTACATCTCAGTACGTGCAAATAGCATGCAGAGAGTGATTTGCATCATACCCCTCCCAGCCTGTCAACAAACACATCAGCTTCCTGCAATTTTTGCTTTCTTTGCATCATGGTATTTCTAGATCCAGGATGTTATTCAACGACCTCGTTTCTCTTTGCCACACATGGTTCAAAGCCAGTGCTGGGAGTGAAGCAAAAGGAAGTGGAAGCAGGTGGTGTGGGAGACACTTCATCTGGACTCACAGCTTGCCTTTTATAACAAGCATTGTTTCTTACAGGTCTCTATGCAATAAGGGGAGCTGCTCCATACCTGGTTTTCTCTGGGGCAGAGGCAAGCAGATTGCCACGCTGCTCCTTGGTGTTTGGTATTCAATGTCTGTGCTGTGCTGACTAGGTGTGGGGAAGGGAGCAATCATACAAATTACAAGGTATGGTTCCTGCGTCCTGAAACTGCTGCTTGACAGCTCAGAGAGGCCCTGACTCCCTCAGGAAGGGGGATCAGATGTAAACAGGGTTGGGGAATTAAAGAAAATGTTAATATTTTGCTTTAAAGAAAACTTTAATATTTTCCCTTCTGAGTCATGCAGGCTTTGCCTGGGGCATCATCATCATTCCTAGAGAAATGAGTTGACTACCACGTGCACTGGCAGGACACAGAGCTGCGATGTAATGTTCTCTCATGTTCATGTAACTGGGTTGATGCCTGAACTCCTGGAAACTGGAGAGTCACCGTGGGACAGCCCAGATCCGTATCTGGCTCATTTGACTCTCTTGAGCGAAACATCTTGGCAAAGAGTTTGGCAGAACATGAACACTCGGTCTTGGAAGCAAGTCCCACACAGAATGCATGGAGATGTCTTTTTCCGTGGGTGGTCATGTACAAGCCACGTACCCATGAGATGGGAGAACAGCTAAAAGCAAGGTCAAAATTGTCCCCATTATCCAGGGGGAATCCCTAGGATAGGTGACAAGACCCTGGACTGTGATGCAGGGTGCTATAGCATAGCATATAGCATATATGCTTGCCTTGATGCTTTGCAATTGTTTTATTTGTGTTTCAAGGGCAGCTGAAGATCCCCCATCTGCAGGGGATTCCATGGAGGGGCCCAAAGTCAGCACAGCTTGTTCAGCACCATCTAATCCAAGGGTCCATAAGGACATGGATAATATAACCAAGTGATTAGGGGAGGAAAAGCCTTAAGGAGTCCACTCTGAAGACATAACTCCACCTCTACACTGCAGCAAGCTCCACCGCTTCCTAGAGGGTTGGTGTCCCTAGGGAGCTGTTGTCTTGTGGGTCAGGTCACATCACTAGATTCATCTTGTGGAATAAGAGCCGACGTATAACCCATCATCACTACAGGGTCAGACAAAAGCCACCAGCTTCGTAAGCTGCTGGGTGCCACATGCCTGACCTGGGACGCGTGTCCAGGGGTGATGCTGTGGTGACACCTCACTGCAGCGCAGGGACTCACCAGGCTGCCCTGCCCTGCTCATTCACCAGCCCATGTGGCCTTGGCTCCTTGGCACAGCAAGAAGTGAGTGCGTGCCACCTCCCTCATTCCTTCCTTTTCTTCCTTTTCCTGTTGAGCTCCCACCCATCCGAGGGAGATGCCAGCAGGGCTGGCGGGGACCCAGCGCTGCCTTTTCACTTTGCCAAAGGAGGCTACAAGTGGCAGTGGGTGAGCTCTGCAGATGGCAAAAGCTGCTCTGTAGCGATGCCTCTATCCTGCCATGGGCAGGTCAGGTCCAGCTTGTCCCACTCATCTCACACCACAGTGGGTCCCAGGAGGGTGGTAGCTGTTGGAGAAGTGTGGCTCTACTTCATGGAGCAAATCTGCTGGTGCTAGCGGGGTTGTCTGGATGCAGGGAAGTACGGGCATGGTGAGGTCCTGCAGCTGAGCATCTGCTCCATGAGTGCTCCCTTCCCCAGTGACCATGATCTGCTGGGTGAATGCTTGCCCTGACCACATTGCTTTGGTGGCTGCAGATCTTTCCCCTGCTCTCTGCCTTTGGTGTTGGCTCCTGTACAGATGTTTTTCCAGATGGGCTTTTTGTGACCACTTTCCACTGACCTGGTCTTCATTCCTTCAGCTCCAGAATCTCCACCACCACCAGCCTGACAATTCAGTGTTCTTCTTCATGAGGACATCTTGCAAAACCAATGGCTCAGATCCCAGCTAAGACCCATATCTGACCATGAAGGACACTTGGGGAGCAATGCTCCCTTTCCCCACAGCCAGCCAGTGTGAAGCCCTGCACTGGGCTGATTTCAGGCAGGATGAGCAGGGCTGTGCCTCATAATTGTGGCTGGAAGGAACCACAACTAAGGTTCCATTCAACCCTGACCATTCTATGGATCTACATATATCTGCCTGTGGGCTCCTTGGCTGGCTGCAGCAGCGGTGGCCTGGGCAGAGCTCCCTGTTCGAGGTGCAGAGGAGTACTTCTGTCTGTGCCTTTCTCCTTTCATGGGTTGTTTCTCCTCCACCTCTCGCTGCACTTTGGACAGCAGGTGAATGTGTTTGGGTGAGTGAGTCATTGCCCCAGCGCACCCTTTCATAACGCACAGACGTCACGGCTTCTAAAGAGGTCAAGCTGTTTGTGCTCAGCAGAACTGTCACCCAGAAACCTGTCCCAGTGGATCTGCCAGAGCACACTGCAGGTTTTCCTTGGCAGGAAGCCTGGCACCATTTCTGTGCGGATTTTAGGAATGGGACGTTTGGAGAGTAAAGAGCCCGCTCTGCTCTTCCGAAAGAGCAAATGCAGGAGTCCTGGAAAGGTTTGCAGGAGAGAGAAGGGTGTTGTGGAAGTTGTGTATCCTGAGAGTCATTTTAATGTGAATGAATCCCAGGCAGTTCAGTGACTGAGACTTTTAGCTGTGAATTAACATAGCAGAAAGTCTTTATTTACAGGTTTTCAGAAGGAAGGGACAGGTTGTAGGAAGATGCAGCACAGAGAAGAGCAAGTGTGAGTGCTCTGCAGGAAGCAGGGGCAGAAACAAGGATTTATTCTCCCAACACACCCTTCACTTGCAAGACTCAAGTTCCCTTTGGTTTTCGATTTTCTTATTATTCAGCACAAAAATAGAAGAGTCATTTCATAGGAACCCTCTGCCTGGCTCTCTGCAGAGATTAGTGGATCATAAGCAGGGCTGCAGGAATCAGCTTGTCTGGGAAAGTCAGGATTTCTGTTTCCATTTCTTAGTGGAATGAAAAAGCAGCTTAAAATTTTCCATGAAGAAGGCCTCTTGGGAACAGAGGAAAGATTTCCTTTTTATCTCTACCTTAGTGAGGCTTGTTTCCCTAATAGGACTCTTTACATAATAAAGCCTCTAGATGCAAGATGAAAAAACCATTGCAAAAATAAAGGTCCAACCTTTCTGTTCTGAAATTGTTGACATTTATAGAAAAAAATGCCTCTATTTGGGGCACCTCTTCATGAAATGGTTTGGAAAGCAATCCTTCCTCTACATTTAAGCTCTACTAGCATGTCTGCTGCCATGAGGCCCCAGACATGCCATGCAGGGCTCCTGCAGGTACTGATGCTGTGAGCAGGACCAGCCGAGGTTATTATATAAAGAGGAACAATTGCATGTAAACAAGACTTAAGTAACTCCACCGCTGCCAGTTTCTCTTGCTGGTCCTCTTTTCCTACTCCACCCCTCCAGAGCCTGACACAATGGGTGTTCAGCACGGCTCTGTCCTCTCTCTGCTCCCAGCCAGCTCAAGGCACAGCAGCCCCAAGGAGCCCCAGACTGAACCTTGCAGGTGCTTCAGGCAAATGGGGTGGTTCAATGCCCCAATGAAGGCAGACCTCATGCTCAACAGTGCTTAGGAAGCTGTTGGCTGTCACGTCTGTGGGCAAACAGCTGTCTTGGCACACTGAGGTCATGCTGGTGGACACGTCCTGCAGGACAGGCACTGTCCCCCTGTGGCCGAGGGTTCTCAGCATCCCCAAAAGCCAAACATTCCACTTTTACTTTTTGCCTCCTCCACTGTGTTTTTAGAGTCCTAATCCACATGGCTGGCACCAATAGTTGTGCTGGATACTCATTCACGTCACCTGGTGTCAAGCCAGGGCAGCAACACAATGAGGACTTGGGAACACCAGAAGTGGCTTTCGCCCCCACAGCTTTCTGGGGAGCCTTGAGCACTTCAAGTCAAGGCATCACACGGGTGCAGAGGGGAGCAAGCTATGTGAGGATGAGGTAATGAAGGTAGGACAGAACGTCTCTTGTGCCACAGGGATCCGGCTGCACACGTATGTGCTTAGCACAGTGGCCTGAAGCATGGACCATAAAACATAAACAGCAACCAGAAGAGCTTTAGTTGGCCCAGCAGTGTGGGGTGCACCCAGCGCTGGTGCTGAGGCCATAAAGATGCTGAGATTTGGTGCAGGGTGAGGTGACATTGGTTGAGCCAGCTGCAGACAGCCTTTTGCCCTTCAGCCACTTTGGGAGCTGAGGTACAAGGTACAGAGGACACTGTTAAGGTTTTAGCCTGTTGTCAGCTGAAAAGTGAAGTCTCACTCCGATCAGATGCAACACCTAGCAGCTCCAACTGAACATCTACAGGCCTGCTTGACCTCAGAAAACAGAGTCTGGCACAGCGTGTTTGAACAGTTTCCAACCTTTAACTTAAAAAGCAAAGGCAGGGCCTCCGGTTTCGTGTCCAGACATTCTTCCAAGAGACTTCCATCCTATGGGAGCGTGGCCTGAGGGGACTGTAAAATGCCGCAACCCCATACACTATTTGGAAGTAGGTTGTGTCTTGTGCAAGAATCCTGTGTACTTGCACAAAGAGGAAACTAGTATATGTAAAATAACCCTGTATGGGGTTATTTTACATTAGGCACCCTTGTTTGTGGAGCAATAAGGCACTTGGACTCAGCCTTTCCCTGCTGAAGCCAAACCAGCGCATTGAAACCCAGTTTAGCTTTCGGGGATGTTTGTTTTTCCCATCTTCGTGTTTTTCCTTTAATCTTTGTGCCAGACAGTTAAGACAACATTCCTCTGCATCTTTCCTGCTGGTTTTTGTGATTATACAAGAGCCAGCTGTATTTGTTCCATGAAAACAACATCTAAAGCCATGCTCTGTGGTTTCAAGTTAAATCCTCCACAGCGTTGGCTCTTAAACTCGAGTTGGTCTGAAATGTGCATTACTCAGGAGCCTACCCTTAAAAATAGACTCCTTAAAGAAAACCAATCAAGGCAGTGGTGCAGAGGGGAGAGCTTGTTCTCAGGTTTGCGTTGAAGTTCTTGGTTGATGGGGAGACTTCGGGGAGCCCTAGAGCACAGCGGAGCGGTTATGAAACCCAGCCCCGCTGCCACACGTCCCAGTCCCTGTAGATGGCGGTGCCACATCATTTATCCCTATGTTTTCCTCCTTTTTTTCCCGGTTTCTGCCCTGGTTGGGCTGTGCACACGCTGGGTGCTGGGGCAGCTCTGCGGAAAGAGAGGATGCTCTTGGGTTTTGTTCGCCTAAAACTGCTGTTCGTATGGTTTTGATGAATGTGAAATCACAGTCAGTTGTATCAGCTCAGCCCCAGGGCTCTGCAACCACTTGTGCAGCCCATCTGTCCCCACTCGGGCTGCTCCATCCCATACCAAGCAGCATGGAAGGGACAGGGAGGAGAGTGATACTACATGATTTAGGGGACTATGCAGAGCCAGGCAGCCAGAGCCCTGGATTTCTCTCCACACTCTTTAATAGTCTTGAACAAACCCTGCTCACACAGATCCCACCTCCTTTCCTTGGCTGTTTCCCTCTCAGGAAGGACACGCAGCACTGGATAGGCAGTGTGGCTGGAAGAATAAATAGCAGTGCCCTTTGCAGCCTGCAAACACCTTTATTTGGCTAAAAGAGGCCCAGGCCCCATCCAGCACATGCTGCTGTTCACATTCACACCTCCTTGGTGTGCCCAGGGCATGCACTGCTGATCCAGCATGGAAAGGCTAGTCCTTGTCTTCCTTCTCATCATCCTTGTTGCTTCCATGGGCCTGGGGCAGGAACAAAAGGAAAAGGAACAGCACGTGAGGAGGGTGCTGGGTGTTTCATGTATCATCCCCTAGCACAGCTAGGTATTCGGTAGCACCCACAGAGAAGGTTGTAGGTGCAAACCCCACAGGGCTGGTGTGTAGAAGGGCAGGCAGGTCCCAGCACAGAGCTGGTGGTGTGGTTACCTCTTCCAAGCTGTTATCAGAGCTGCTGCTGCTGCTCCTGTCCTCACCCCCATCTGCCTGCAGGGGCTAGGAGAAAAGGACAAGCATCACCAGGGACCCTGGCACCCCGTTTGGTGTTGGTGCTGGAGCCTTGAGTCAGGGACATGGCTGGTCTTGTGAGTATCTAGAGCCTGGCTTTGCATCAATGGTGCTGCTATGGAACCACATGTACCCAGGGCCCCAAAAAGATCTGCAGAGCCAAGAGCAAGGATTAGATGGTGTGTGCAGTGCAGACATCACTGTCCAAAGCAGTTGAAATAGGAGGAAAAGGAGAGGGTACTAACTAGGAATATTGGGACCAAAGAGAGAGCTGTCTCTTGGTGGACAAGCCATGCTAAGACACAGCTCCATCTACCAGAGGCGTGGTGCTGCCATGGGTCAGACAGTGCTTCCCTTCACAGTCAGGAGGTAAATCTGGTGGGGCTGGTACTTTCCAGCACCCTGCAAACCCTGGCTGCTGCCTGTGCCAAGCATCCTTCTCCACAGGGCTTGGTGGCAACCTGAGAGCTCTGCACCATTCACGTCCCCACTGCATTGTGCTCACCTATAGAGGTGGCCCTACTCCATAGCTGCCTGCTCCCTGAGACACAAACCCCCAGCTTAAGATGGTTTGAGTTGTGCTGGGCTGACCCTAGCACCACACTGGGGACTTTTGGCTGGAAAGCCTCTGGCAAATGGTTCAATAGCTGATGAGCAGAAAGCTCCACCATTCCCCTACCTTTGCCTCTTACCTTCTTGTCCTTCTCTTTTTCTCCCTCTTCTCCCTTCTCTGTTTCCTTGCCCTTTTCCTTCTCCTCTTTGTCCTTATCTTCCCGTCCAAACCCTACAAGAGAGCACAGAGGGAGGTTCATTGCCAGCGTGAAGCATCCAGCACACACAAACCCCACCGGTCCCACTGGTTTCACACCAGACACTCACATTTCAGGATTGTTGACATTTCAACGAAGCCAAAGAGCTCTGGGGCACGACACTGTCACACCTACAGCACAGAGAGACCCTGCAGGAGCAACAGGAGTAAGGGGAGCTTTTCAGGGATGAAAACATCTCCCTGGATCCCACCATTTGATTTTCTCTTCTCCATCTCAGAAGAGGCCCTGTGCACTTTCTACCCCCTGAAACAGCAGGAAAAGGGGTAAAAGCAGTCTGTGACCTCCACAAGAAAACCCATCAAACAGGACCACAACTTGTGCCCAACCAAGCAACACCCACTGCCCACTGCCCAGGGAAGCAGCAAAGGGAGGATGACAGAGGCAGACCAAGAAATCTCAGGGCAAATGTGCACGAAGCACACTTTAACCCCTGGGAGTAGGTGCACATTACAGCACCACTTCAAATTAAAGGGGGATGAGTCAATAGACAGCAGGGGTTGGGGTCCCAGGAAGCCCCGGTAGAAAGGAGACCTCCCTCAGGGACACAGTGATGAGAGAAGGGAGATAGAGACAGCAGCGAGCAGGAAAGCTGAGAGCAGCAGCAAGCATTGATGAGGTGCCTGAAGGGTGATAGATGGAAAGGAGAGAAAGAAGATTGCTTTAAAAACAGAAGGACCAAACAAAGCCCAGGAAATCGCCTTGTCCACAAAAAGCAAACTAAAGCAAAGGGAATGCAGCAGGGGTGAGGGACCAGATCCCTTCTGCACATAGGGAAGAGTGGGATTGTTCCCATGCCGCAGCAGGTAATAGGGAAAGTTTCTGTTCCAGCCATTGATGGAGGCAGAATATTAATGGTTTCTTTTCATGGTTTTTTGGCCAAAAATTGCATCATCTGGTTGGTATTTGGGCTTTTAAAAGAGCAGATAACATTGATTTGTATTTTCTAGACAAGTTTCCCCTGCAGGGCAGTGGGAAGCAGTGGGGTTTGAGGAAGCATAGGGGGAGAGATAGGTTGGATGGGGAGAGGAGGAGTATGGGAAGTGACTGATAAAAGGCAGAATCAGTGCAAAGTTAAAATCTAATTAATAACAAACAGTAATCTAATTCATCTTTGTAATTAAGAAGTGTAACTACTGATTGAAAATAATTACATTTTAATCTTAAATCGTTAAAAATAATCAAACATTAACAAAAGAAAAGGCAGCCCCTGGGAAGATGCAGGAGGTGTAGCTGATACCCTGAGCTCTCTCTGGTCCTGCTCACCAAAGCTGCTCCACAGCTTCCTCAGTGTGTGTTCAGACCTAAACCCATGGGGTATGCCTCTGCCTTGTGCCTTCGCTGCTTAGGTCTGAGCAGGTAGGAAAGGCACAAGGTGAACAGAGGTACACGGAGGTGGACCCCAAGCTTGGCACTAGGGCTCCCCTGTGCTCCCACCTGAGGGGACGTCTCCAGCATCCTTTGCAGCCCCCACCACAATCCATGGCCCAGATGACAGCTGCAAACGCTTGGCTTTATCCTCATCCCAAACCAGCAAATCCAGTTTTGCCAGCTCCTTGGCCATGCAACATTTTGGGCAGCCAAGTTTCCCTGCCCCTTATGAGCTGGTTCCTTAAGAGCCCAGGCAGGCAAACCAGCAAACCCCAGCCCATAGCTCCATGGTTCTCACTGACAAGCTGTGATTGTCCTCCATGGCTGACCAAAGCATGAGGATCACATGGATCAGACCACTGCCTATCTGTGTATTCATACCCCACCAGATACAGTAGCCTGGATGGCCTTACCCCACCAGTACAATGGGCTTACAGGTCACAGTGCCTGCTCCCGTTTCACCCAGGGAACCAAAATCCTTCCCTCAAGCATGATGGCTAATTGCTGTCCCCAAGACCACACTGAGCATGAGCTGTCCCAGTGATGTACCTGCTGCACCTTCTGCTTCACCCTGCCCTCCTGCTCTGCTTCCTCAGCCTGTGGAGGTGGTATGTGAGTCTCTAAACCCCCTCAATGACAGGAGGGAGACAGGGAAGCGGCTTACCTGGAGCTGATGAAGACAAGCAGCCTCCCGGATGCCTGGCTGGCAGCTACCAGGGATCTGGGTATTTGAGTGTTGCGGTCTCCTCCCCAGTCCCATTTTGCGAGCAGAAAAACTGGCTCTGCCACGGACAGCACATGACACTGGGAACATGACCAGTCCCATGCATACCTGCAAGAGGCATTGCCTCCAGCATGGGCAGGAGCAGAAAGACCCTTTGCAAGCAAGCCAGGGCAGCTCTGGAGGCTGCAGACATCCATAGGAACCAGTCCTGGGATTGAGGAGCACTCATAGAATCATGGAATAGTTAGGGTTGGAAAGGACCTCAAGATCATCTAGTTCCAACCCCCCTGCCATGGGCAGGGACACCTCTCACTAAACCATGTCATCCAAGGCTCCGTCCAACCTAGCCTTGAACACCACCAGGGATGGAGCATTCACAGTCTGGGAATGTGCTATGGTCAGGACCCTAGTGGAAATAGAGAAAAGGGGATTTGGGGCACCCTTAAAACCACAGTGAGAGGATCCTCCAGCAGGTCATGACTCCACTCCTGATGAGAGGTGTCAGGCAGCTCCAAGACGTCCTGGCAAGGCCAGGCCAGGCAGAACTCAGTATTCCCAGCTCCCTCTGATGCATGTCCTTGCTGCTGGCTTTCACTCCAACATATCATTAAGCAAATACCTGTCAGCAGAGAGCAGTTACCAGTAGGTCTAAACACTTGCATAATGTGCTTCCCCTCTAATGCAATGCCCTCGTTTCTAATAGCACCAATATGGGATAATAACAGTAACAATAATGTCAAGAAGGGCTTGTGTACCTGAAAGCTAATTTGTTTTCTCCACCTAATAAAAGGTATTACCTCTCCCGCAAGATTTGCCCCATTTAAAACCTTCAACTCCACAACAGATTTGCTCCCGCAGTCATTTGACTTTAATTTACAGTAATTGCAATACACAAGGAGCCCCTCCCACCGAGTGAGACTAACCCTGGGTAATTCAATGCAGGGAGCAGGCAGCTGTACAGAAGTCACTTGTCCTAAAAACCAACCATGTCTGCCCCAGGCCTCCTCCACTGGAGCCCTAAATTAAAATCAAAACTCCCCTCAGCGGGTTTAGATCAGAACTAAGGGATGTGTTTTAACAGCAAGGGTGGGTAAACCCTGGAGCAGCTCAGCAAAACGGGTGGCAGAGTCCCCGTTGCTGCCAATTTTACAGTCAATAGCTGTGGTACTTCAGAGCAGAGATGCTTCAGCTCACATACAAATCGCTTTGGGAACTCCTCGCAGCCAGTTTTAGGGTAAACCATGGCAGCAATCCTGCCTGTCCTGGCAGGATGAAGCCACCAGATTGACACAGCCTGGGGTACAGTGCAGAAACCTGGCAGAGATGTGCACAGGGAGCATAGTGTGGGACCCTGTTTGGATCCAGGGAGGCTGTGTGGTGTTGTGACCTGATGGCATCCAGCCCTGCCACCTTAGGAGGATCCTCCCTTACAAATACCACACTCAACCTTACAGCATAGGGGTGGCTGCCACCACCCAGGAGGAGAGCAGAGTGTGGAACCTGCAGCCACATCCAGGTCCCAGCCCACAGACTATGCAGGTTCTGCTCTCACCCTGCAGCAGGGTGACCCAAAACACCAGTGTACAGCCACCTTTGAGCTGCTGTCACAGTGCAGAGATTTGAGGGACTCACGGAAAACATCAATTAGGACAGTACCGAGCACTTACAGCTTCTATTTCTGTGCACTTACATCTTCAGCTACAGAGACCAATCTCTGCTTAAATCCCGTCATCGTAGACCACTGTTTATTTAGGATCCAGTGTCCACAACCTGGGAAAGAAATGCCTCCTCCTGCCACAAATTTTCCCCTTCCTACCTCTGAGTCAGGGCATTTAATTTGTGCTGTAGGCAACATGGGACATGCTGTCCCCTTGGTGGTGCCACCAGTGGCAATGTAGCTGCTGCTTCTTTCAAATGACAACAACTGCTCATCCCGCCTGTGTCAGAGGTTTTGCTGCTACCGAACGTGTGTGTTTTAATAATGAAAGGGAGTCCCTGGAAAGCCGGCTGGAAAAGGGCTGGGAGCATATCCCAGAGCCCAGCGGGAGGGCCAAGCCTTTCTTATGTTTTAAACCTTTCCACAGCAGCTGCCAGGAAGCAGCTTTTACAGCTGCAAATAACAATCTCTCCCAAGGAAAGAAAGTAATTGTGGAAAGCTTTTTTCTCTTATCCCCCTCTCTTCTCTGCCAGCATCGTAGCTAACTCTTCTCTATTCTCAGCCACCTCTTACCTCCCCAAACACTACCACAAGTGCTCAAACTACTGCCAGCTCTCATTAGGTTCATGCACAAGGCAAGGCCAAGCAGTAAGACCTCCAGACAGTTGGATGCTGAATTCTGATGAACCCTTTGGGTAGGAAGATTTCAGCAACTGTGGGTCTTGTTTTAGTTGGCTGTCCATTGCAGTCCTTGCACTGGCACACCAGTGAAGCTGGTGCACATTTGATTACTGGCTGCTGTAACAAAATCCAGGTGGGCAAAGGAAGAATTACTGTCTGCATCTTCAAAACAAATCACTTCATTTCCTGTAATTATTAAACTCCACTAAAGCACTGAAGGTCAGTAGAATGTATCTGCAAGAAAAGCAGCTGCTGTGCCATAACCCCCCCTTATCTTTATTTCTTCTCCTCTGCCATTTCTGTACATTTTGGCTTTTTAGCAGGAGCAAAGCTACCATTTTGTACTGGTGCAGGAACTGGGAGCTCAGCTGTAGGAGCCCTCACTGCCCAGCCTGGGTTCAGAGTCCTTTCTGCTCTGGGAAAGCTAGAGAAAAGCAATGAGAAAAATCCATGAGAAAGGCCTCAGCTGTCCCAGCCTTGCCCCACAAACCACAGCCAGGGCTAGAAGAAAAAACCCACCATTCTTGCTTCTCATTGTGTTCATACCCACTGCTACCTCAGTAGCTTTTCACTGAAATGGCTGTCAAAAGAAATCCTTCTTTTAATAATGCTATCAACCAAACCAAGAAAAAAATAATACAGAATTCATAGTAGTGCAGGTTTTTTTTACACCAGACATTCTCCTTTCAAGTTTAGTTGCCTTTAAGATGCAAAAAAAACACAGGTCTCCCTTTAGAGATCTAATTGGTCTACCCATGACTAAGGCAAGGCTTTTCCTATATATATATATAAATCAGAGGAGCATTATCCAAAAGGTATTCTAATAATAAGAACACTTCTCTACTGCACAAATAGAGGAATGTTAAGCCTTCAGTACAGCTGAAATGTGCAAGACCTGCTAAAACCCAGAGGATTTTCCAAACAGGATTTGACCATCATCGTCACCAATGAGCCAGTACAGAGGCAGGTGTGACATTTGGTCACCTCTGGTTAGCTATTCTGGACTTCTTCAAGTTCCATTTTAGCTGTGCATTTCTGCTCTTGTGATTCCAACAGAGGTTGTTCCCTCCCAGTGGGCAGGCTCAAAAGATAAGCATTGCAGAAAGGAACAAAGCAGGGAATTTTCAGAGCACAAAGAAACAGATACCATACATGAAGCTTCTGAGACAAATTAGGACTCCTGCTAACAGAATTAAACTGCTTCCTCTCCCCCTACTTTAATATACCTTCCAAGAAGAAGGAGCATTGCATTGTAGTGTTTTTATACAGAAAGAGGAGACAAGCAGCATCTGAGTTGTCTGTGGCTGACATGTGAAGCGACACTGAGGAAGTGGAATCCTCCTGCTAAATTCTCTCATTAAATTGCCCAAACACGAGTCAATCTCTTTTAGCCAGTTCATTTATTGCTATAAAGCAAAATACCCATATTCTTAGGGCCAGATCAGCATTTTCCCAGGTCATGCTGAAGCAAGCACTCTGCAAGAGAACAGAACCCTAGTGACAGTCCCAGTCCCACATCCCTGAGTCATTAGCAGACATCTTCAGGCAACCAGGGCTTCTCAGCAGCAGCAAGAGCTTGATAAGGAATCCTCTCCTTCCAGCTCTATTCTTTCCAGCCTAGGAACTGCAAGGTTCATAAATATTTGCCTTGTCTTGCACCTCCTATCCAATATTCAGTTCAACACCAATGCAGAGCTATCAGGAGCCTAATTATGTCTCTCTGACTTAAAAATCACACCATGATTTTAGCTAACTCTTTAACTAGCCAGCTGCTACTCTTCTCTCCAGCACTGGGAGAAGCTCTCTGGACTGTGAAGACAAAGGGCTTGTTAACAGATACAGCAGAGGGATTTCAGTGAGAAGATATAGTCAGTCCGTGGAAACAGAGAAGCAGTCTGCACTTAAGTCTGTCACACTGCCCACCAACCTGGACTATACTAATCACATCTCTCAGTGCTGTAGAAGCTGTCATTGCCAGGCTGCATTTAATCATGGTTCTTACAGCAGCAGCGATCAGAGTTAATCTTTTTCCCTTTAATAAGAGCCATTACATCACTCTCCAGCATGGAAACTATGAAGTGGGAAGGTCAAAAAGTTCTTAATTAGAAGGGTTTTTATTACTGTGATAGTTCCGTTCTAGCCTCAATAAGAGAGATCTGAAGTACAGGCAGCAAGAGCTGGAAGGCATCTTGGATATATGAAGCACTGTTTGAAGCCTACGAAAACAAAAATCAAAATACACACATGAATAATTATGCTACCAATCAGCTTTCCTAACCAAACACTCATTTCAAACAGCATTGATTAATGCACGTAACAGAAGCCTTGTGCTTGTTGGATTTTTAAGGCTTCATTTTAGAAAACAATTTAGCATTAAGTTTTTGAGAAGTTTTATGCCACTAGGCAAAAAATCAACTGGCTTCAAAACTGTCAAACAAAATCAAGTGCAATCCAAATGTAGGACACTGTTTTCAAGAACAGATGAGAAGAATCCATTTCAAAGTGAGGCATAAGAATGCTGTGGCAGGAAGGCATAACACACCAACAGGAAACACCCATTTCCTACCACACCTCAGTTTACAAGCTCTGAGAACCAATTTAACAGATAGGAAGTGTGGGACTCTTGCATGTTTATTTCTGAGCTTGTCTAAGGTTTGACTTCGGACACCTCAGTTGTGGAAAACCAGACTGCTGGATGTAGTATGTGTTTTCTGACTCATCATAACTGCCAGGCTCACTTTTCACTATGTAACTCATCTCTTGAGCAAATCTACAGACATTTATTAGAACTTTCAAGTGATAAGGAAGCAGAATCTTGGACCATGAGGCTTGGCACACATAAGGATACCAAAGTGGAAAAAACAGCATATCTATTTTTTTAAGTATTACTTAACTTTTTAACTTTAGCATAACTGACCTCCAAAAACACTCCAGTGATTAAGGGATTAAGCACATCTGCTTTCTCTTTGACCTGCAGAGATCAAACATATATTATCCTGATTGGAAATTTGATCACATTTCTTCAAGCAAGATAAAGCTAAATCCTCGGTAGGCTTAATCACCACTGCTCCCCTGACTCTAGGAAAGCTAAGTTGCAAGCTGCAGAGGACCTGCCTTGTAGCATGCAAATAAGAACAAAGCAACCCACATATGCCCAACGCAAACCATATATGAATATGCACATTATGTCTTTAAATGTACTGTGGACAGCTGGAGAATTGAGAGATAATGATACTATCTTCAATAACACCTGAGTGTTTTGGAAAAGCCACACCAGGATCACAAATCTCATTTACTTCTGTCTCCTTAGTACTGTCAGCTCCCATTCCCCCTCTGCACTCACCCCCACACCAGTCTGAATGCAGCAGAAGGCATTCAAAAGCTCAGCATACATTCAGATGCCACAATTTGGGAAACACTGACCTAAAAGATCAGTTCACAAGGCAAAAAAATTGCATATATAAATGTGCCAACACAAAAAGCACTTTGTGGTGAAGATCTCAAGGCTGTAATCAACTAGCCACATCTCATTCCTAAGAACTATGCATTCCTAAGAACTCTTACCTCTGCAGCCGTTAAGCATGTAGTAAACTCTTTAGAGAAAGTTGACAGTTCTTTACACAGCACAATTGTCATTCTGTGGAAGAAGAGTGGGAAAACAATGTAATAAATGCAGCCTACAAGAATAACTTGTAGCATTCCTCTAACATATACCTTGTTTCCATGCATATACAGCTGAATTAAACCAAAACTGATATAGAGCATACAAACAATGTACAAAGCTCCTGAATAAATTAGGAAGGGGAAAGACGTAAAAACAAACAATTAAAGCTGAATGTCTGAAACAGCATTCAAAGGACAAACA